AATCGGGAAGGAATGCGCAAAATGAGTTTGCTTCATGTCAAAGATCCGTTTACTACGTCCAACGTTTTACGAAACTGCGACTGCCAAATTAATCCAAAAACAAATATGGTGAAAGCATTTCTTTAAATCTCAGAGCGAAATGGCAGGCATCAGCTCAGTCGTCCTGTTTGCCGGGCACCCAATGTAATGCAGTAACCAATTGTTACAAGGAAGATACCTTCCTCAGCAAGTTTTCGTCGACCATCACACAGCCATCACACCAACTGCAACGATCCCTGATGAACGGGGAGCCGTGAATATTCATAGGTATGTGGTAGCATGGCGACTGCATGCTATAAATACTGCAGCTCCTTATGCATGAGGCAGCCGTATCTACTTTTGTCTCTGATGATGGGTTCGAGCAGGAATCGGAAAGGTCGGGCTAATAAAGCTCGTGTCCCAACGACCGTGTCTCCTTCTTCAAGACTGCTTCCTGGGACTCGTCTCTTCGCTTCTATTGGCGATGTTACCTATCTTAACAAACGAGAGTGTTATAGGAGAGTGTTAAAAGATAGAAGGAAAGGTGCACGAATCAATAAAACACCAGATCAATGGTTTAATGGTAGAAAGTGGGGCTGGATTTTGAATCACGTGCATGAATGCGTTTGTTTATCCAAATACAAAGGTGATTGAGCATGGAGAGTCCATGCGGTGAGCGTCAGCAACATATCGGAGAACCATATTTAATTTGCGAAAACGTATGGTAATACAAATTTGGGGCGATTCCGCGATCCAGAACTATCATATTATGTGTAGTCTGGAGGACTACTTACTTAGGTGGGGGAGAAGAATATAAGTTAGTGTAATTATTAGCACTGGCAAAATACCACACAGTGGTCTTTAAGTCTGGGTATGTGAAAAATGTGTTGAATTTCGGTCTGAAGGACGGCAACAAGCTATCAAAAAAGTATACCACAGTTTCTCGCCAAAAAGGACTCACCTCGAAATTTGTGTTGCGCAAGCCGACGCTAGGCCTATGTCGGAGTGGTAGCTATCGCTGAACTCGATTCGAGCTAATGAGCTCCTGCGAAGAGGACGAAGGGGAATGGGGGACCCCACATGGGACTCCGGTGTCAGAAACCCCTTGTACTGGTCGGCAAGGCGTAGGTGGTCCTCCTCCAGCTGACGAACACGAGCGGCACACTCGACACACAGTGCCTGGAGCTCTAAAAGTTGATTCTGACAGAAGAACGACAAAGATTGCGCGTTTTAATGGGTGAGTAGGGGAAAGGTTAAAAACAGTCAGACAGTCGTGCAGCAACACCAACCCGAAAGCAGGAGTAATCAAGACTCGCGCCGGGAAAGTAGCTAGCCATTGAACAGTGAAATAAATTCTCTCCAATCGAACCACGGACTCGTGCCGTCCCGTCAGCCGGTGATCGGATGCAATGACGGACGGAAATCGAATGCAATCAGGATCTTAAAGCGAGGATACAACGCGACCGCGCACGGCCACGCCGGCAGCAAGATGCACGCGTGAAATCAGCTAGCCAATCAGCGTGTGCTGCATTATCGAGCGCAGGTGATGCTTCTGCTCACGATGACATCCCAATCAATGGCCTACCGAGGCTTCCCGACTCTTCCCTGAGGGCGTTATCACACACACAGTAGGTGGCAAACTCATGAAATCTCAACAGGAATTCCGAAATGCGTTTCCGTATCGAAAAGATTGACTAAGTAGGATTGTAAAATCAGAATGATATTACCGACAAAGACAAGGGAGACTGGAATGGCCATTTCTGGCTTATTAGTCGTCGTCAGCCAGCCATACCCAAGCCCGAAGTGTGGAACACCCGAGCCTCGAACTCGCGACCTGTTGGTTTAGAAGTCCACGCCTCTATCCACCGGGCCACGAGCCCGTTGCCCTGTCGGTTTTCGATCGGGAATATACAATGGTAGGGGGCGCTCACCGATCGTTCATACGGAACTCACTCGTTCCGTTGTGCCTTAAGGGCTCTCTCTCGAGCCCAACCAGCAGCCGCACAGCGGCGCATGATATATAGGCAGAATGATATTACCGACAAGGACAAGGGAGACTGGAATGGCTATTTCTGGCTTATTAGCCGTCGTCAGCCAGCCATACCCAAGCCCGAAGTGTGGAACACCCGAGCCTCGAACTCGCGACCTGTTGGTTTAGTAGTCAACGCCTCTACTCACCGGTATTTCTGGCTGACGACGGCTAATAAGCCAGAAATGGCCATTCCAGTCTCCCTTGTCTTTGTCGGTAATATCATTCTGCCTATATATCATGCGCCGCTGTGCGGCTGCTGGTTGGGCTCGAGAGAGAGCCCTTAAGGCACAACGGAACGAGTGAGTTCCGTATGAACGATCGGTGAGCGCCCCCTAACATTGTAAAATCAATCATCGTGCAGCATACTTCCATAAGAATTCAATTACCCCAGGACGCTGGCTTTCGAACAAACTTCATTTTGGCTGCATCCAAAAACCAGACTCCGTAAAAAATGGCTACTCAAGTAGCATGAATTTTTCTCATTAATTTTCGATGTCTTTGTAAATTCAAATATGTCTCATAAAAAACATGCACGTATTCATTATTTTGTTCATTTGGTAGAAAATTAAGTCTTCTTTCAATTTTGCACTCCAAGAATGGGTATAATTCCGTTTTAAAAAAGTTTCCATTTGTAAGATTTTTTAATACCGTGAAATGGCCCTTTATAAAACGTCATGCCTCTGCATTTAACAACGTGGCTTGTAAAGTTAACAATGTAGCTCAAATCCACTGCTTAATTTTATGAACACTAAATGGTTCCCCTTTATTACCATAGAAAAATGTATGGTTTTCCGTACGCGGAAAGTATACGGCTTGTAGTTTGGAAACCCTAAATGAAAGTGTTACGGCACGTTGGGTTCAAAATTATCCCGGAATTGGAAAGATCTTATAAAACCAAATTATACCCTTCCTTCGAGTGTAAAATTAAACGAAGACGTAATTATCTACTAAATGGGCAAAAGAATGAATATTTTTATGCATGTTTTCTATGAAGTATAATTGAATCTTTAAGGGCATCGAAAATCAATTTAAAAATGCATGCTACTTAAGTAGTCATCTTTGTGGAGTAGGGCTTTTGGATCGTTTGAAAGCCGGTGCCCTGCGGTAACTGAATTATTATAGAATTATGCTGCACAATGATTGGTTTTACAATCCTATTTAAGTAATCTTTTCGAAACGGAAACGCATTCCGGGATTTCTGTTGAGATTTCACGAGTTAGCCCACTTGTTGTAAGACAGCCAACATGCGACTAGCACGCCAGAGGCTATCAGGTTCAACGGCCGTTAGGAGGCGAATAAATAGGAAGAGATAAGGTGCGTTCAACATCGTGTTACTCAAGTTGGTAGAATAAAGAGGGTTGTTCCGAGAACTCGCCCTCACTCTCCCCTCCGGACATATCATCGAAAATATTCAGAAACCCCTTGTACTGGTCGGCAAGGCGTAGGTGGTCCTCCTCCAGCTGACGAACACGAGCGGCACACTCGACACACAGTGCCTGGAGCTCTAAAAGTTGATTCTGACAGAAGGACGACAAAGATTGCGCGTTTTAATGGGTGAGCAGGCGAAGGGTTAAAAACACAGTCCGATAGTCGTGCAGCAACACCAACCCGAAAGCAGGAGTAATCAAGACTCGCGCCGGGGAAGTAGCTAGCCATTGAACAGTGAAATAAATTCTCTCCAATCGAACCACGGACTCGTGCCGTCCCGTCACCCGGTGATCGGATGCTATGATGGACGGAAATCGAATGCAATCAGGATCTTAAAGCGAGGGTACAACGCGACCACGCACGGCCACGCCGGCAGCAAGATGCACGCGTGAAATCAGCTAACCAATCAGCGTGCGCTGCATTATCGAGCGCAGGTGATGCCTCTGCTCACGATGACATCCCAGTCAATGGCCTACCGAGGCTTCGCGACTTTTTCCCTGAGGGCGTTATCGCCCACAAGACAGCCAACCCGCGCCCAGCACGCTGGAGGCTATCAGGTTTAACGGCCGTTAGGAGGCGAATAAATAGGAAGAGATAAGGTGCGCTCGATATGGTGCTACTCAAGTTGGCAGTTGGGTTAGATAGATAGATAGATAATTTTTATTAAAGACCCGTCGGGGTTGTTCGGAGAACTCGCCTTCCTTCTCCCCTTATCCACCCGTCGCAACATATTATCGGAAATATTCAAATTCTCTCAGAATTGACATTCACTGATCTGTTCCGCTAGCGGAAGGCAAAAGTGAAACAACGCAGTCCCGCCATGAAATCAGGGAAGATCACATTTTAAGTGGCATGGACCCGGACCGGGGTCTTTCCAGTTCAGAGTGTGACACTGAAGTGTGACGTTATCTGAGCCCAGGACGACAGTTCTAGTATTTGTTGACTTTATCGGAAGACAATGAACGGTTACTTCCTCTGGACTGCAGAGGCTGGCGCTCACGTCATCAGTCAGAAAGGTCGAAGCGCACAAATGGTCCAAGCCAGGGAGTTCAGGGCCTTTTGGCCAGTGCAGCCAAGTCGGAGTAAGTGCTCGCCTGCAACGTCATAAATCGTAACCGTTTACCCAAATGAGCGGGAATTTTCGCGCATTTCAGTACGCCTAGGTTAAAAATAAAAAAGGCGGAATTTGACAGCAGCCATACAAATTAATTGCCACATTTAAACATTCCAAGATCGGCAACGGTACAAAGTCTGTGCTGGTGGCGTCCCCAGTCTCCTGGGAGTCGTCTATTGACATGCCGGAATTCAAATCCCAGGGCGCTGTGCGAGCGACACTTTTATGGCCACAAAAAGTCGTTAATTGTTCACAACACCCTCCCCCTCCCCCACTGCCCACTGAGCCCACGGTGTCAACGGCAGCCAATCAGAATGGAGGCGATGACAAAAGGACGTGCCGCAGACGCGATGGTGGCATCGGCAGAAGTCGAAAGCGACCTGCGCGTCGCGTACCCAGTCGCTGCCGATGCGGGCCAACGGCGATCGCGATCCACAGACTCGCCTGAGCAACTTGAACCAGGCCTTCTGCAGACTACGTGCTCTGGTGCCCAGTCATCCGCCCGAACGGCGAATGAGCAAACAGGAGATTCTGCGTCAGGCGATCAACTACATCCGGGTGTTGGAGACCATTCTGTGGGAAATGGAGCAGGAGACGATGGAGGGGGTGAGGGTGGTTCAGGGACCAGGCAAACATCTGGCGCCACAGAAACCGTTGCTCTGACGCTTCTGTGCAATTTTACCCCCGGGACGAAGCTCCCAGATCTGGGTTAGTAACTTGTCTCCCTCTAAAGAACCAAACTGATTACTACAATTTCGTGGCGCCATTCTTCCTTAAGGGGGGGGAGGAGGGGGAGGGAGATTAAGTTCTATACGAGAAAAATGTGTTTAACAATTCGATCAATTTGTGTAAGTTCGTACGGTCAGTGACTGATCTTATGGATTATTAACCGAAATTCTGGCAAGATCTTATTTCGTAGCCGTAACTGTTAGCGGTTAGGGTTAGGGGGGTGGGGGTTGGAGGTTGGGGTCAGGGGTCAGAGTTGGGGGTTAGGCTGAGGCTTCTCTTCTGTAGGTACGGCTATGAAGTAAGATCCGACCGAAATTCTGAATTGAATTTTTTACTAAGAAGGATTAATAAAGCGGAGTTGTGAATACCGTGCTTCAAACATGCCAGGATGCTGACTTCTGAGCGTACTGCAAAACCAGTACTTGTGTAGTATGCATTTTTTCCACCAATTTTCCGTGTCCTCAGGAACTCATACATTTTATAGAAAGCATTCACGAAAATACCCTTTCTTGTGCTCATTTGGTAGCAAATCAAGTATTCTTCAAATTTTACACTCAGAGAAATGGTATAAATAAGTCCTAAAGAAGTTTTCTAATTATAAAGTAGTTTTGGGTCCGATCCGCTGTCGCTATGTACTTTATAAGCAAGGGAAATCATGCATTTCTCCACGCCATTAGGAAGATACTATAGAGAGTTCACAAAAGTTTGCGGTAAATGTAGACTTTGTTGCATGCTTCAAAGGAAGCATTGGTAAACGGATAGATACGACGTAATTTGAATGAACGATTCACGGTCTTGAAAAATTTCATGATCACAAACTTTTTAAAACTTAAATATACTCTTCCTTTAAGCATAAAATTTAAATAATGCTTGTTTTACTACCAAGTGAATAAAGAAAAGGATATGTCGGAAATGTTTTATGGAAATACATTGGAATGTATAAGGGAAACGAAAACCCATGAAAAAATAAATACCATACAAGTAGTCATTGTCTACCAACCGTTGTTTCCGTGTCCTTGTTAAGGGGTCACATATAGTAGGTGGGCTAACTCATGTCAACCGCAATTCTGAAATGCGTTTTCGCCACGAAAAGATTAATCAAGTTGGGTTGTAAAACTAATTAGCCTGCAGAATAATTCTATAATAATTCTGTTACGTCAGGATGCCGGCTTTCGAAAGAACTTCCTTCCGGCTGCATGCAAAAACAACACTCTGTAAAAAACGACTACTAACGTAACATGCAGTTTTCTCATGGATTTTCGATGCCCTAAAAGTCCAATTATATTTCATGGAAAACATACATAAAAATATTTATTTTCCGCTCATACGGTTGAAAATTACATCTTTCAATTCTATACTCGAAGGAGGGAAATAATTCAGTTTTAAAAAGTTTCTCATTATGAGACTTTTTAATACCGTGAAATGGCCGTTCATAAAAGGTCATGTCTCTGCATTTAATAATGTGGCTTGTAAAGTTAACAATATGGATCAAATCCAATGCTAAATTTTATGATCCCCGTATGGTCTCCTCTTAATACCGTTGAGAAATATGTGGTTTTCCGTACGCGGAAAATACATAGCTTGTAGTTTGGAAACCCTGAATGTAAGCAAGACGTAGAGCGGGTTCAAAATTATTCAGGGATTGAAAAATTTTTGGAAACCGAAGACGTGATTTTTTACCGAATGAGCGGAAAATGAATATTTTTATGTATGTTTTCCAGAAGATATAATTTGAATTGATAGTGGCATTGAAAATCAAAGAGAAAAATTCATGCTCTTTAAGTAGCCATTTTTATAGAGTGCAATTTTTGCATGCAGCCGGAAGGAAGTTCATTCGAAAGCCGACATCCTGAGGTAACTGAATTATTATAGAATTACACCGCAGACTGATTAGTTTTACAACCCCACTTAATTAATCTTTTTAAAACAAAAACGCATTTCGGCATTTCGGTTGACATTTCATGAGTTAGCCCACCTACTGTAAAAGTGAACAGGCTGGCGTGACTGAAGCCTCTCAGGATTATGTTGCATGACAATCAATGTTACAAGCCCGCTTATGTTACCCATTTCTAACCGAGACCGTACTTCTAATGCAGTGGAATAGTCAGTTTAATTTATCATTTTTTACCGAGTACGGCTGCTAAGAAGGAGTGCGTTTAAAAGTCGGCATCCTGCTGTGACATGGCATCACGCTGCACAATAATTTACATTATGCAATCCCTCCTAATAGAAAACCCAAAGATAAAATTTCGGTTATAATTTCATGAGATTATTTACTGACTGTATAAACTTACTTCAGTTTATCATACGACGTTAGTTTAAAAGAAAAATATCTGGTAAAAGTGTGCAGAGGCATCAGAACAATAGTCAACGAATCGACGCCGAAATCCAGATCCACCCAAATTACAAGCCTCCAGCCGCCAATTTAATGTCACGTATGGTGCAGTTATAAAGTTGGCTAGGAATAGAAAACCAGCGCCGAAACCAGACCAAAATGCCATTTCTCATTTGATGTAGGTACCGCTAAAGAATGTTTTGAAGCAAATTTAAACAGCTTAAGAGGTTCCAACCTGGAAAGGACTAGGGAGCAAGGAATGTTTTTGTAGAAAAAGATGCTGCTGACAGAAATGACCCCCGAATTTTTTGTTGGCACTCGAAAGGGGTAGCAAGTGACCATTTCCGGATATGAACCTGAGAATGCCTACGCTAGGGATGACAGTGGTTTGTCATTCAGAAGACAGGTATGCAACCAGAGGTAAAACGAGGTCAGAGGACCGAATGACATTGTCTGTCTGTGTCAATATCCTCACAGACTCCCATCAAATTCCATGAACTATACCAAGAGAACTTAACCCAATAGTCTACATTTCGAAAGGAAGTGAACGAATAGATATCAAATCACGCTTCTGAAGTGCATAGGAGAACTGGGTAGTCTACGCTGTCGTTTCTCGACAACAACCGCAATCATTTCTAGCGCCACGCATGAATATTCCCCGCCCCCCTCTTCAGACCAGTGCGTTAATGTTGCAACACGATTAACCCTTCGAACTCAGAAAGACTGAAAACGGCACCAGGCTCTAGGAAGATTTCGATGAGCAAAAAAGAAGGCGTGACTTGCCTCATCAAGCACCTCTGTGCTGATCGTCTTCAGGAGAACTGCGCTTCTTTGAAGAGACTCCAGATCATTTTCGCGTTGTGACGCGACTCGAGTCCAGAGATTCAGCTCGCACTCGGCACGGGTTCTAAGGTGATCTAGTTCGGTCTTCAGGTCTAATCGGGAAAAATAAATGAGAGAAGTTGAACAGAGATCAAGCCCTATGGTATCAATATTATACCCTACAGGAAAGCGTACCGGCAGAGACAAGAGAGATTGGGATGTCCGTTTCTGGCTTATTAGCCGTCGCCAGTCAGCCACAGCTGAACCCCGGTTTGGATAACTGGGAAGTCGAACCCAGGTTATTTGGTCATTGGGCGTTTAAAAGTTCAGTGCTCCACAAATGAGTCATGGATACTACGTCGGAGAAACCGAAAGACTGTTCCGGACGCGAATGGCCGAACACGATGCAGCAGTACGGAGAAATCACGCCAGCTCCAAAGTTGTGGCTCATTCAACGAGATCCGGACACACATTCAAATTCAACGAGGCCGAAATTCTCGCTAGGGGTGACAACCGCGTGAGCGGCGAGCTGCTTATGTCCTGGTTCACTGGCTTCCAGTCTATGCATGGTGCTGAGACTTCGCCTAGACGGAGTAATGAGTCACGCGGGGAGCGCATAAGCGAACACTATTCCCAACGCTTGCGTCAGTGGGGCATATGATCGAGCAATCATCACGGCAACAACCAATACCTGTGATGAAAATGCAGCGATTGACGTCGCGAATATCAGCCATCGAACATTCATTGCACCAAGTGTAAAAATCCTCGATGAAGGGGGAGCCGTGAATTTTTACATGTATATGGTAGCACGGCGACCGCATTCTATAAATACTGCAGCCCCTTGTGCATGAACCACCCGTATCTGCTGTTGTATCTGATGCGATGGGTTAGAGCAGGAGTCGAAACATCAGGCGAATAAAGCTCTTGTTCCAGTGACCGTGTCTACGTCTTCCCGACTGCTTCCTGGGTCTCGTCTCTTCGCTTTTCTATTGGCGAGTCATGAGTTCGTTGCCCTGTGGTTGCGGCTGGGGCAGGTTACGGGGCATGTTCACCCTGCTGGGCTCGAGCTTAAGCCCTCGCAGGCAACCACATAGCGCCACCGACAAAAACAAGGGAACCGCGATGGCGATTTCCGGCTTCTTTATCGTTGTCAGCCAGTCATACTCAGTCCCTTCGATTACGGGGCCTGAGATTCGAGCCAAGATTCTTTTGATATTGGTAGTGACTAGGCGGAGTTTGCTGTCGACGACTAATAAGCTAGAAACAGCCAGCCCGGTCTCCCCTGCCTTTGCGGTTACTCGCTCTTGCGTGAGTAGTGGTTGTTATGCGACTGCTTTTAAGCGCTCTGGATTGAGCCCCAAGGCGTAACGGGACGAACATGTTCGGTAACTTGATCTGTGAGCGTCATTCCCACAAAAGGACATTATATCATACTTCAGACTGATCAAACACTCTTGTGTACAAGTCCTTTTCAGAGTGACAAACAATTACTTGAGTACTCTTTAAAAGCGGTATGGCGACTGAACATAGACAGGATGGAATTAAATGTTTTGGTTCTCAAACAGGAACAGACGCACATCGATCTGATTGGCGCCTCAGATGAGACTAGATCGGTCGCATGCTCATGACCCATGTCACTAATCTACGGGACTAAATTGCTTTAAAGCGTCAATCAAGTCAGTGTCCCTTCATTCCCGTGAACACGAATGTCAGGTCCACCCAGCTAAGGAGAAATTGGTAGACGGAGGAGCACCGAATTTACGGTTTGCCTGTTGCT